CCAACATTATATCTGTTTGGGCTTCTTGCGGTTAATTTGCAACCTACAAATTATTTGTAATTATGTTCCAGCCCCCTGACCATCCGCTCAAGAAAAAAATAAAAAAAAAAAAAAATCGGCCCGCGGCTGAATCTAGTTGATGATCCCTGATATAGGGAATACGGTGCCATTTGAGACAGCCATTCAGTCCTCAGTGTACACACTCACTCCCTTTCTCTCTCTCCTTTATCTCTCACCTCCTCCATCCGCATCTCTGACGTCTTCCTCGATGGCTTCATCAATGGCGTCATCAAAGTCATCAAACCTGGAACACACACACACCCCAGGGTTTACGTTAGGAAAATGTGGAGCTGGACAATGCTGGGGAGAATGACTGCCCCCTCTCATTGGAAGCCACGGAAGTTCAAGGCCGACCGCGGTACTGCAAGCTTTGTTAGTAGAAAACAGGATCCCCATTATAGTGAATGGAAAAATGGCCAAAAAATTTTTTTAAATAAAACATTTTTTGAAGACAATCATGGTACCAATCATTTCTTCTAATACACCAGATGTATGAACTTGAACCGACGGTTTTAAAATCGCGCCCAGAAGAAGTTAGAAGGATCATTTAGTTGCTAATGGCAGCCTGCAGTACCCCAGTCGGTCTTCAACAAGTTACTCAATGAGAGGGGGCACACCACTGAGCAAGCCTGCAACATCACTTCTTGGAGTAGCTCAAACTATACTGAACAAAAATATAAATGCAACATGCAACAATTTCAACGATTTTACTGAGCTACAGTTCATATAAGGAAATCAGTCAATTGAAATAAATTCATTAGGCCCTAATCTATGGATTTCACATGACTGGAAAGGGGTGCAGCCATGGGTGGGCCACACACGGAGCGAGGCTCTATGACTGTAGCTTATTGCCGCTTTGATGACTTATGATTGGCCATCAACAAGCTACACACGCCATGCTCCACTCTCGTGTAAAGCAATAGCAGCAGCATAAATTATACAATTTCTCTCTCTCATGCAGCAGTTGCGTTCGGATATGTACGGGCCCTTCCGGACAAGTCAGTTAAAATTACACATACCCAGACCAGTGACATTGTTATGTCTCCATAAGACGCCATCTTAACCGACTTAATTTGGCTTTAGAGCGCTATTGAGTCTTCACATAGGAATGAATGGTGTCATGTGATCGATGGCTTTGTCCATTCATATTTCAGTCATTGGTACAACTTGACCAGAAAGATTTTAAATTTTCCGGCCATTTGAGAAATTTACCAGACCCATATGCATTGGGTGCGTAACCCATTAGGGTGTCCACCAATTGTCCTCAATGAAGCAGCCAATAAAACGTCATTTTCAAACATTTGCCAAAATGCAATTCGCAGGAAAACAACACCATTCTATACAGCGCACCTGATATGAAAACCAATCGAACAGAAGAGAAATGCTGGTTTCAATGGCATATGAGGAAGTCTATATAAAATAATTCCACCTTTCTATGGTCGGATTTTGCCTGGGCTACTTTGAAGCAAGGTAAGACATGCCTCATAATATGAAGTAAAACATTCAGGTTTCAAATAATTAAGTACAGTGCATTCGGAAAGTATTCAGACCCCTTGACTTTTTCCACATTTTGTTACGCTACAGCCTTATTCTAAAATTGATTAAATAGTGTTTTTCCCCCATCAATCTACACACAATACCCCATAATGACAAAGCAAAAACAGGTTTTTAGAAATGTTTGCAAATTTATTTAAAAAAAATAACAGACGGAAATATGACATTTACATAAGTTTTCCGACCCTTTACTCAGTACTTTGTTGAAGCACCTTTGGCAGCAATTACAGCTTTGAGTCTTCTTAGGTATGACGCTATACAAGCTTGGCACACCTGTATTTGGGGAGTTTCTCCCATTCTTTTCTGCAGATCCTCTCAAGCTCTGTCAGGTTGGATGGGGAGCGTCGCTGGACAGCTATTTCCAGGTCTCTCCAGAGATGTTCGATCGGGTTCAAGTCCGGGCTCTGTCGGGGCCACTCAAGGACATTCAGAGACTTGTCCCAAAGCCACTCCTGCATTGTCTTGGCTGTGTGCTTAGGGTCGTTGTCCTCTTGGAAGGTGAACCTTCGCCCCAGTCTGAGGTCCTGAGCGCTCTGGAGCAGGTTTTCATCAAGGACCTCTCTGTACTTTGCTCCGTTCATCTTTCCCCTCCTGACTAGTGTCCCAGTCCCTGCCACTGAAAAACATCCCCACAGCATTATGCTACCACCACCATGCTTCACCTTAGGGATGGTGCCAGGTTTCCTCCAGACGTGATACTTGGTATTCAAGCCAAAGAGTTCAATCTTGGGTTCATCAGACCAGAGAATCTTGTTTCTCATGGTCTGAGAGTCCTTTAGATGCCTTTTGGCAAACTACAAGCGGGCTGTCATGTGCATTTTACTGAGGACTGGATTCCGTCTGGCCACTCTACCATAAAGGCCTGATTGGTGGAGTGCTGCAGAGATGGTTGTCCTTCTGGAAGGTTCTCCCATCTCTACAGAGGAACACTGGAGCTCTGTCAGAGTGACCATCAGGTTCTTGGTCACCTCCCTGACCAAGGCCCTTCTCCCCTGATTGCTCAGTTTGGCCGGGCGGCCAGCTCTAGGAAGAGTCTTGGTGGTTCCAAACTTCTTCCATTTAAGAATGATGGAGGCCACTGTGTTCTTGGGGACCTTCAATGCTGCAGAATTGTTTTGGTACCCTTCCCCAGATCTGTGCCTCGACACAATCCTGTCTCGGAGCTCTACGGACAATTCCTTTGACCTCAGGGCTTGGTTTTTGCTCTGTGGGACCTTATAAAGACAGGTAGGTGCCTTTCCTAATCATGTCCAATCAATTGAATTTACCACAGGTGGACTCCAATCAAGTTGTAGAAACATCTCAAGGATGATCAATGGAAACAGGATGCACCTGAGCTCAATTTAGAGTCTCATAGCAAAGGGTCTGAATACTTATGTAAATGAAATATTTCAGTTTTTTATTTTTAATAAATTGGCAAAAATGTCTAAAAACCTGTTTTTGCTTTGTTATTATAAGGTGTTGTGTGCAGATTGATGAGGAAAAAACGATTTCATCCATTTTAGAATAAGGCTGCAACGTAACAAAATGTGGAAAAAGGGAAGGGGTCTGAATACTTTCCAAATGCTCTGTATATGCATCCAGCTCACATTGCAAAGTAGTGAGTGACACGCGGATAGCCTGCCTACCATAGCCTATGCATTTGAATGGCGAATGGGAGTTGCTTCAATTACCAGTTGAGGAAAACAATATGTAGTAGCTCTTTATAATAGTGGCCATCAAAACTGTTTTTAACACGCAATTGCATTTAGAATTGTTTCACTCCAGAAGCAACAATTTTGACAAGTGATATTCCACTCAAAATAGGCTCTGTATGCTGTAAGATAAATACGATGCATGACGACTAACGAAAATACACACGCCCCAATTTAATTCCACTAAATTTAGCAAATTAATTGATAGACCGATGAGCATGACGGTCAAATGCATTTACATCAACTGATATTTCCATCAATGAATTCCACTACATTTTGCAATGGGATTGTTTTTTCTCCCGGTCAATTTGGCAGGCAACAATTTTGTTTAGCAGCTTTATTTTATTTGTTTTTCCTCAGCCAAAAGCAATTACTGTCTAACTGAAGCCCTGGCACACACGCACACTATGAGACGGGAGTGTCACCATGATAACGTGACTTACCTATTTTATTTGATCTGTGCTGTCACTTCGCTTTCTCGCTCACACAAACACACACACACACACCTGTAGCTGATACACTTCCTGGTTCTGGTAGATCTCCTTCCCAGGTTTTTGGTCTTTTTTGCATCTTTCTTCTTTGCCTGTTTCTCCTCCTCTTCCTCCCCTTCCTGCTAGAAACACATAACATACACACATTCAGACTATGATCATTTATTTTATGCACATTTGGCCTTCTAGACTCATTTTGCCTGATAGCCTAATTGTGTGTGTGTGTACTTACAGGAATGATGTTCTCCACACTGATTCCCACATACACCAGACGCTCCCTCCTACAGACAAAACACACAGGAATTACACAACCATTTCAGTGTTATGTGTGTGTGTGACAATGTGTGAGTGAGACTGTGTTTGACGTGTGAGACTGTGTGTGTGTGCTGTGTGTGTTACCTCCTCTCAGCTCGGTCTCTTTTCTTCAGAGCGCAATCCAGATTCTGCAGCTGCTCCTCTAGTCTCTCACACAGCAGCTTCTACAGAGACCAGGGACAGTGTTAATACACGCATGCACAAACACACACACACACTCTCTCTCACTTACGTGTTGGCAGGGCGGGCAGAACCATTCTCCCTCAGGTATGACCATGAGAGGGGGTCTGAGACAGGCGGTGTGGTAACCACTATCGCATGAATCACACAGCAGGATCTGCAGCAGAGAAACACAACGGAATGTATACACATTCATGTGCTGGGTACAAATAAAGTCATGAAATCAAGAATAGATAGTAATCTGCAGAAGGGAAACAGTTTTAACACACACTGTTTATGGATTCACAATAATGCACACAATATTTCATAAGTCATACGGATGCAGAGACTTAAAGAAACAAAAAACACAATCTCCTCCACACACACACACACTTCTCACCAGTTCAGGGTGGTTGGGGAGTCCACAGTGGCTGCAGGGATCTTCATTAGGCGTCTCCTCTGATTGGCCAGAGTCATCTGAGTCACAACCACTTCCCTCTCTCCCTCTCTCCTCCTCCCTCCCTCTCTCCTCCCCCTCCCCCTCCTCTCCTCCCTCATTCGGTTTGCATTTCTTCGCTCGAGTGTTTGACCAGCGGGTGCCTCGTTGTCTTCGTCTGCTCTGTAGACACACACACACACACACACGGTTACAATCAATCACATTGATAACAAACATTTTCTTGGCTATGATCATTTTGATATTCATACAAAGCCTTATTCCTACATCACTTATAAATGAGTAAATTAACTTTTAAAACAAAGTAGTTACCTTTACAGTCCTGCTTTGTCCCTCAGGGTTTGCTCTCTTCTTTTGCCATTGAGCAGTCTTCTCCTCCTCTTCTTCCTCCCTCACTACTGGTGGTGCGTCTTGGCTCTCCACCTTGTTTGGGCTGGGTCTGTAGGTAGGGTTGATCAGTAAAATATCTAAATATCAAATTACAGAACAATGGCGACAGCTCCAACAATTCCAGCAGAGCTGGGGCACAGTTGGAGAAGATGGCCAAAGACGTGGAGAGCCTTTGTTGCTGCCCTATGCGCCAGCCGGCACGACGGGAATGAGTGAGTGTGTGATATTAAAGCAGAATATTGTATATATTGTTCAGCTCTACATGATAAATTGTCACCTCAGTTATTGTGATGAAAGAAGTTATGTTACGCTAATAATGATTGAGACATTGTGATGGGAAGAGATTCTATCATGAACCTTACCTGCAGATACGAGCCGATCTCCGCAGAGACCTCCCATCTCCCTGCTCCTCCCCCTTCTCCTCTCTCACATTCTCTCTCCTCTGGTTGGGAGGGATCTTTATCTTCAGCCTGATCCCTTCTTTCTGCAGCTCAGAGGAGGCCTCCAGGGGACCCAGCCGGTCTGCTGCTCCATGCCCAGCTCCCCTCACCCCGGCATGGGTTAGTGTGTCTGTGCTGAGGGCCTCTCCCTGGTCCTCCTGAACCTTCTGTCCTTCTACAGTCTGGCTGCTCTCTGACTCCTGCTCCTTCTCTCCTGAGGCACTCTTCTTCTTCCCCTCTTCCTCTGTTCCATGGCATCCCTCGCTTTTCTCCACATGGAGGTTGGTCTTTTTCTCTTTCGGGTTGTCATCCCTCTCTCCAGACTGGTCTCCATCTAACTTCTCCCTCGCTTTCTCTCTTCCATCCTCTCCTAACCTCTCCCTCGATCTCTCTCCTTTCTCTTTCCTATCGCTCTCTCCTTCCCTCTCTCTCTCCTCTCCTCCTGTCGGTCTCTCCTGTCCTCTAGGCTCCAGGGGTGTTGGGGCTCCAGTCTCTCCCCAGCCAGGGCTCTTCCTCACCAGGACTGACTGCCTGCTCCTCTCCTTGTCTGGAGCTCTGGCCCTCTCCTCCCCCTCTTCTGACCCTGGTCTGGTTCTCTCCGTACAGACCGATCCGCCATCTTGTTGCTGCGAGACCGGCCTGCAGATGACCCCCACATGACCTATACCCCCTATGAGCCCTCCAAGCCCATTTAGGGGAGCCCCCCCATTGGTCAGCTCCTCTGGCAGTGGGACAGCCAGGCCCCCAGGTGGAGCTGACTGCCTCCCCAGCTGCTCCTCCCTGGTATGTGTTACTGAAGGGTTACGGACGATGATGCTACTGCTAGTACTGCTGCTATGGCTGTTGTTGTTGTGTTGGTTACTGTGCATGTCATTGTTGTTGTTGTTGTTGTTGTGATGTAAGTTGATATGGTGACGGTTGGCGCCAAAGAGCTCTCTCTTCTTCAGTGGCATCTTGGCCTGCTGGTCGGTCCTCAGGGCCCGCTCCGCTTCCTCCTTCACAGGAGGAACTTCCTGTTTCATTGTTGCCAAGACGGGCGCCATGACGACGGAGACAGCATTGCTAGGGGAGTTGCTAAGCGTTTGGGGCTCCTCTTTGACGAGCGCGGTGATGGTGCTCACTCTGTTGTCAATCACTTCTGACCTCTCCTCCTTCCTCCAGCTCTGTTTCTCTCCCTCTTCTTTCTCACCTCGTTTTTTCTTCTCCCTTTCTTCCTTAATCTCAACTGCAATGTTTTCCTCCTTCACTGAGACTACCGGTTCAAGCTTGGTTGGGTTTTCCTTCTCTGCTAAAGACACCATGTTGTCGTCCGTACTAGTGGATTCTGGATAGGGAGAGGATCTACTCTTCTCTCGCTTAGCCTCCTCTTCCTCCTCCTTCTCGCTCTCTTTACTCTTCTTCTTGTCTTCCTCAGCCTTCCTCTTCTGTCTTGCCTCCTCCTCTTCCTCCTCCTTTACCTCTCCTCTAGCCTCGCCTTGAAAAATCACCACACATGTTGACATGTTATATTGCAGCTCTGGTTCCAACATTCATTCATAATAACATAATTATAATATATCAGTAGTGACAAGATGATCATATTACTACTAACTACACCATCATATTACAAGTAACAACAGAACCCTTACCCTCCTCGTCTCTTCTCCCCCTCTCCACAGGTTTGGCACAGTTGGACCCTCTCTTCTTCTCTCTGTCCATCTCTTTCTCTGTCTCTCCCTCCTCTTTCTCCTTGTGTTCTGAGTCCAGCTGGGTCTTCAGGAGGTCCAAAGCATCGGCTAAGTCATTCCGGGTTCTGAGGACAAACAGAACATTCTGAACATAAAGTATTTGCCCCCTTTCTGATTTTCTCAAGTTTTGCATATTTTTGATACTGAATGTTATCAGATCTTCAACCAAAACCTAATATTAGATAAACCTGAGTTTACTAATAACCCAAAAAATTGATACTTATTTGATTTATTTAATTAACAAAGTAATGCAATACTCAATTCCCCTCTGTGAAAAAGTAATTGCACTCAATAACTGGTTGTGCCACCTTTAGCTGTAATGACCAAATGCTTGCTGTAGTTGTTGATCAGTCTCCCAAATCGCTGTGGAGGAATTTTGGCCCACTCTAGCATGCAGAACTGCATTAACTCAGCGACATTTGTGGGTTTTGAAGCATGAACTGCTCGTTTCATCTCAATTGGGATTAGGTCTGGACTTTGACTAGGCAATTTCAAAACTTCAAATTTGTTGCTTTTTAACCATTTTCATGTAGACTTGATTGTGTGTTTTGGATCACTGTCTTACTGCATGACCCAGCTGTGCTTCAGCTCACAGACGGATGGCCTGACATTCTCCTGTAGAATTCTCAGACACAGAGCAGAATTCATGGTTCCTTCTATTATCAGAGAATTCTACAGGAGAATGTCAGGCCATCCAGTTATTGAGTGTAAGGGGGCAATTACGTTTTCACACAGGGACATTGGGTGTTCCATAACTTTATTAATGAAATAGGTATGTAATTGTTGTGTTATTTGTTCACTCAGGTTCCCTTTATCTATTATTAGGTTTAGGTTGAAGATCTGATAACATTCAGTATAAAAAATATGCAAAAGTAGAGAAAAGGGGGAAAATACTCTTTCTTCTTAGCTGCTCCAACTAGGGTTGCAAAAAATATATCTTATCTATCCATCCATCCATGCATCCATTATTACCTGACGATACATCTCCAGGTGGATCCGTCCCAGTCGTCCTGTTCCTCTGTGTACAGGCGGATGTTGTGCTGGGCGTCAGTCTGCAGCCAGTACATCAGGCCCTGTCTGTCTCTGCCCAACGGCTGCAGCCTCATCGCCTCTGCCTCCTCCTCGTTCACCAACATCTTGAACTTCAGGTTGTCATCAAACTGGATCTCACACAGGTACTGGGGTCAAGGGTTAGAGGTCAGGGGTTAGAGAGAGACGGGGGTTTCCGTCAGACAGAGAGAGAGAAGAAAACAGTACAGTGCCTTCAGAAAGTATTCACACCCCTTTACTTTTTCCACATTTTGTTTTGTTACAAAGTGGGATTAAAATTGATTTCATTGTCATTTTTTGTCAACGATCTACACAAAATACTCTAATTTCAAAGTGAAAAAAAAAGAAGACTCATAATTAATGGGAAACAAAAACATTTTAGAATCACCTTCGGCAGCAATTACAGCTGTGGGTCTTTCTGGGTAAGTCTCTAACAGCTTTGCCAACCTGGATTGTACAATATTTGCCCATTACTATTTTTGTAATTCTTCAAGCCCTGTCAAGTTGGTTGTTGATCATTGCTAGACAGCCATTTTTAAAGTCTTGCCATAGATTCTTAAGACGATTTAAGTCAAAACTGTAACTAGGCCACTCAGGAACATTCAATGTCGTCTTGGTAAGTAACTCCAGTCTATAATTGGCCTTGCATTTTAAGTTATTGTCCTGCTGAAAGGTGGATTTGTCTCCCAGTGTCTGTTGGAAAGCAGACTGAACAAAGTTTTTCTCTAGGACTACGCTTAGCTCTATTCCTTTTCTTTTTATCCTAAAAAGTTCCCTAGTCCTTGCCGATGACAAGCATACCCATAACATGATGCAGCCACCACCATGCTTGAAAATATGAAGAGTGGTACACAGTGATGTGTTGGATTTGCCCCAAACATAGTGCTTTGTATTCCGGACAAAAAGTTAATTTCTTTGCTACCATTATTTTATTATTACTTTAGTGTATTATTGCAAACAGGATGCATGTTTTGGAATATTTGTATTCTGTACAGGCATCCTTTTCACTATGTCATTTAGGTTTGTATTGTGGAGTAACTACAATGCTGTTGATCCATCCTCAGCTTTCTCCTATCACAGCCATTTAACTCTGTAACTGGTTTAAAATCACCATTGGCCTCATGGTGAAATCCCTGAGCGGTTTCCTTACTCTCCGTCAACTGAGTTAGGAAGAACGCCTGTATTTTTGTAGTAAATGGATGTATTGATACACCATCCTGAGTGTAATTAATAGCTTCACCATGCTCAAAGGGATATTCAGTGTCTGCTTTTTTTTATTTAAATATATCCATCTACCAATAGGTGCCCTTCATTGCAGTTTTCATTGTTGAATCTGTACTTGAAATTCACTGCTCGACTGAGGGACCTTACAGATAATTGTATGTGTGGGGTACAGAGATGAGATAGTCATTCAAAAATCATGTTAAACACTATTATTGCACACAGAGTTAGTCCATGCAACTTATTATCTGACTTGTTAAGCAAAGTTTTACTACTGAAGTTATTTAGGCTTGCCATAACAAAGGGGTTGAATACTTATTGATTCAAGATATTTAAGCTTTCCATTTTCTATTAATTTGTAAAAATTTCTAAAAACATTATTCCACTTTGAAATGATGGGGTATTGTGTGTAAATCAGTAACACAAAATCTAAATGTAATACATTTTAAATTCAGGCTGTAACACAACAAAATGTGGAAAAAGTCAAGGGGTGTAAATAGTTTCTGAAAGCAGTGTATATTATCAATATACTGTTCATACATTGAGTAGATATCACAGAGGAGGTAAACTGGTATATTAGTATGATAGTCTGCACAAGGTGTGTGTGTGTGTGTGTGTGTGTGTGTGTCTTACTTTGAGGATGCTGGTTTTGCACTCCATGCTCATCTCCTGGTATCCCTTGTGTTCCAGCTCCCAGGCCCAGCTACTGTTGATGTCCTGGCATACCTGGATGATAAATATACAGTCATTACAGGTGTACACACACACACACACACACACACATACACACACACACACACACACCAAGCACAGCTCACCTTAGCCAGGTACCTCTCCCACTTGTCTGCAGACACAGACTTGCCAAGCTTCCTCAGCAGCTTGACATGCAGCTCCACCAGTGGCTTGGGAACTGAGAGATACACACACAGAGAGATAATACATGAGTTAATACATTAGTTTGTTATAAAACTAAACACACTGTCATAACACCAGCTAGTATAACACTAAAAACGTATTACAACACCCAATGTGCAGTGGGAATTTTAAAAAAAAATAGCATTCTCCTTCTGGTATTCTGACTGTGCAATTCACATTGATTCACACTTTCTTGGAATTATTCTCAAAGATATAGCTAACAGTGGAAGATGTGGAGGTAAGATCAAAAGCAACTGTAATGCATTGTCATTTTTTGCATTATAAAAAAAAACACGACGATGTGTTTCGTGAACAAGGGAGGAAATGTGGAAAGAGCAAACAACGTTATCACAGCAGTCTACAGACAGTTAACTAACTAGCTAGCTAGTAACAACATCTTTCCTACAGATACTGTAACGTTTGTAACTAGCCTAGGTACGCTACACACAGTTAGCAAGATAACTAGCTAAATCGTGACAAGAAAGCCCCAGCAGCTACCATTATCTCTAAAGAGGATTTAAATAGTTAGAAACTGTGGCAAGTGTAAAGTCTGAGGAATTTGAAATCAGCGGTATTTTATTTGAATGAATTGATAGCCACCAACACATCTAACGTTAGCTTGGTTTAGCATGAAGTTGGCTAGCTCAGCTACATCACGCATTGCGCATGCGCAAAATTGACAGTCAGCCAAGTACTGTTTTTATCGGACTATTTTGACAACTGTTTACGACACGATTCGCCACAATACGAGATCGATTGTATTCGAATAGTATTTACTCAAACACACCTGGGGCTGAGTTTGATACTTTTCTTGCACTAGTATGGGCAGGCAAGCATGATGGAAAAGTCCACCTGATAGCTAGCTAACAAAATGAAGGTAGCTAACTAACTAGTTTGGTAATTCAAGCAGGAATGGCTAGCTAGCTATTTATCAAATAGCTAAGTAACGATTCATCTAGCTATCTAGCTACATCAATCAGTAACATTAGCCAGTTATACCCAGCCACATGTCACAGTGTGTGGAAACTCCCCCTAGCCAGTTAGCTAGCTCTACTGGCTCCCCCCTGACTACCCAGCAAGTCAGTGATGATGATGCTGAGACCCTCTTCCTCTCCCTTCCCACCTGTCGATGTGTCCCGGAGATACCTCTCCATCTGCGGAAAGGTGAGTTCGGGGAGGTCCAGGGCTTGTCCGTAGCGCTCCAGGAACGAGCAGACCACTGCGAAACTGGGGCAGAGACCGGGGTTTGAGCCCTGTGCCGCCGCTGAAGCAGCCATTTTTCCAGCCGGGGAGTAGGATGAGAATGAACGGAGTTGGGAGGACAGAAAATAGCCCACAATTCAGCGCGCCAACCATCGCATCATGGGTAGACGAACGGAGGGGGCTCTGTGACCAGGTAGTCCCCCAAACCACTATCCCCATAGGGACGCAAGTTTCAAACATCAACAATGTTCTTGTGGTTTATTATCTAGGCCCATATGATTACTAAACATTTCATTTGCTAGTAGGAATATGAGTAATGTAGCTAGCAGGCATATTTTAGGTGCTGTACAGTCTATAAATTATAAAGTTGCGGCCATTGTGCATGATATAGCTAGTCTTTTTATTTCATATAGCTACAGTAGTTGGCGAATTACGTCAGTGGATACATTATTAACAGCAATGTCCACTGTAACATCATCCGTTTATGTAAAATAGAAATGTGACTTGTGGAAAAAGACAGGAGGACCAGCACCGGTTGGATGCAGATCTTGCGCACCCCACCAATATTTTGAAGGATGGGGGCGTGTACAGACGCTAGAGGGAGAGTAGTCAACTCTGTATTTCACACAGTGCCTTCAGAAAGTAAATACCCCTTGACTTATTCCACGTTGTTGTGTTACAGCCTGAATTCAAAATGAATTAACTATGTATTTTTTCGCACCCATTTACACACAATACCCCATAATGACAAACTGAAAACTTGTTTTACACATTTTTGCAAATGTATTGAAAATGAAATACAGAAATATCTCATTTACATAAGCATTCACAACCCTGAGTCAATACTTTGTAGAAGCACCTTTGGTAGCGATTACAGCAGTAAGCCTTTCTGGGTAAGTCTCTAAGAGTGTTCCAGACCTAGATTGAGAAGCATTTGCCCATTATTCTTTTCAAAATTCTTCAAGCTCTGTCAAAGTGATTGTTGATCATTGCTAGACAACCATTTTCAGGTCTTGCCATAGAATTTCAAGTAAATTTAAGTCAAACTGTAACTCGGCCATTCAGGAACATTCACTGTCTTCTTGGTAAGCAACTCCAGTATACATTTGGCCTTGTGTTTTAGGTTATTGTCTTTCTGAAAGGTGAATTCATCTCCCAGTGTCTGGTGGAAAGCAGACAAAACCAGGTTTTCCATTAACTGAGTTAGGAAGGACGCCTGTATCTTTATAATGATTGGCTGTATTGATACACCATCCAAAGTGTAATTAACATTTTACATTTTAGTCATTTAGCAGACGCTCTTATCCAGAGCGACTTACAGTTAGTGAATACTTTTTTTATATTTTATACTGGCCCCCCATGGGAATCGAACCCACAACCCTGGCGTTGCAAACGCCATGCTCTATCAACTGAGCTACATCCCTGCCGGCCATTCCCTCCCCTACCCTGGACCAATTGTGCGCCGCCCATGAGTCTCCCGGTCGCGGCCGGCTGCGACAGAGCCTGGATTCGAACCAGGATCTCTAGTGGCACAGTTAGCACTGCGATGCAGTGCCTTAGACCACTGCGCCACTCAGGAGCTACTCAGGAGCTATTAACAACATTATCTCAATTGGGTTGAGGTCTGGTGATTGTGGAGGCAAGGTCATCTGATGCAGCACTCCATTACTCTCCTTCTTGGTAAAATAGCCCTTACACAGCCTGGAGGTGTGTTGGGTAATTGTCCTGTTGAAAAACAAATGATAGTCCCACTAAGCACAAATCAGATGGGATGGCGTATCACTGCAGAATGCTGTGGTAGCCATGCTGGTAAAGTGTGCCGTGAATTCCAAATAAATCACAGACAGTGTCACCAGCAAAGCACCCCCACACTATCACACTTCCTCCTCCATGCTTCATGGTGGGAACCACACATGCGGAGATAATCCGTTCACCTACTCTGCGTCTCACAAAGACAAGGCGGTTGGAACCAAAAATCTCAAATTTGGACTCATCAGACCAAATGACAGATTTCCACCGGGATAATGTCCATTGCTCGTATTTCTTGGCCCAAGCAAGTCTCTTCTTCTTATTGGTGTCCTTTAGTAGTGGTTTCTTTGCAGCAATTCGACCATGAAGGCCTGATTCACACAGTCTCCTCTGAACAGTTGATGTTGAGATGTGTCTGTGAAGCATTTATTTGGGCTGCAATCTGAGGTGCAGTTAACTCTAATGAACTTATCCTCTGCAGCAGAGGTAACTCTGGGTCTTTATTTCCTGTGGCGGTCCTCATGAGAGCCAGTTTCATCATAGTGCTTGATGGTTTTTGCGACTGCACTTGAAGAAACTTTCAAAGTTCTTGAAATGTTCCGTATTGACTAACCTTCATGTCTTAAAGTAATGATGGACTGTTGTTTCTCTTTGCTTATTTGAGGTGTTCTTGCCATAATATGGACTTGGTCTTTTACCAAATAGGGCTATCTTCTGTATACCACCCCTACCTTGTAACAACACAACTGATTGGCTCAAACGCATTAAGAAGGAAAGAAATTCCACAAATTAACTTTTAAAAAGGCACACCTGTTAATTTAAATTCATTCCAGGTGACTACCTCATGAAGCTGGTTGAGAGAATGCCAAACATGTGCAAAGCTGTCATCAAGGCAAAGGGTGGCTACTTTGAAGAATCTCAAATATAAAATATATTTTGATTTGTTTTAACACTTGTTTTGTTACTACATGATTCCATATGTGTTATTTCATAGTTTTGATGTCTTCACTATTATTCTACAATGTAGAAAATAGTAAAGAAAAACCCTGGAATGAGTAGGTGTCCAAACCTTTGACTGGTACTGTATATGGTGATACTGATGTCAACATGTAGGCTAGAACATACAGGGGCAACTAGACAGTAACCCTCTGCTTATAGCTATCCGGATTCCAGACCCTTCAAAACTACAAACACCAAAGGGTTAGGGGGGCCAAGGTGAAGTGTAGGGAGCAAATTGAGATCAGCTTTCTATGTAGGCCTAGTCTGTTCTCCTTCTTCCCTTAAACTAAGCCAGGAAAGGTAGCCTAAAGGAAACCAGCTTGATCTCGCAATAGCTCACATTCTCTTTCACACGATCAGTCTTCTTGACCAGGCTAATGGAGAGGAGCAGTGGTCCTAGACTTGGCAGTGGCTGGTTGGGGCTGTAGTGATACCTAAAGTCCAGCAGGTGGAATCATTTCACTGATGTGTAGACTATTATATCAGGCTAGATGGAAAACAAATCTCCACTACAACTACCCAACATCATCCCCAGAGATCTGACCTGGTTAGCACTGTGTCTGGGATGGGATTCACATGGCTGTTGTCCGTAAATCAATTATGTTGTCAGAGGGGTGTTTCTACTCTAGTCTGACTGCGTAATCTTTCCAAATCTCGTCTTGTTTTACATATACATTTACATTTTAGTCATTTAGCAGATGCTCTTATCCAGAGCGACCTTACAGTTAGTGAATACATATATTTTGTTTTATACTGGCCCCCCGTGGGAATCAAACCCACAACCCTGGCATTGCAAACGCCATGCTCTATCAACTGAGCTACATCCCTGCCGGCCATTCCCTCCCCTACCCTGGACGACGCTGGGCCAATTGTGCGCCACCCATGAGTCTCCCGGTCGCGGCCGGCTGCGACAGAGCCTGGATTCGAACCAGGATCTCTAGTGGCACAGTTAACACTGCGATGCAGTGCCGTAGATGCCTTGAAGGGCGTCCAAGGCTATTACTGACCAGAATGTCGTCAGCCTCTTCCAGCCTGATCAATTCATCAACCACAGCCAAATGCCTGTTACAACGTTATAGACCATGTCAACCACAAGCATCCTCTACCTCTACCTCTCCTGTGGCCACTGCCTACTGTTCCTCACCACCACAGCCAAATCCTGAGTTGGGTTGCGTCCTAAACGGCACCATAGTCCCTAAATAGTGCACTACTTTTGACCAGAGCCCTATGGGCCCTGATCAAAAGTATTGCACTACAGTACATAGGGAATAGGGTGCCATTTGGAACATATATATAATAGACCATCTCAACCACAGTCTACTCTATGGCCACAGCTAACATGATTAGCCTACATTGCTAGCTGGCAGCAGGAGGCTACTTGCTATATGTCTATGGCACATCTGTTAGCAGTAAACCAGCAGACTGTACGTTTATCAGATCAGGCTGACCTATGGCCATTCATCTCTATTATAACATTTCTCAGAGCAGTCATAGCCTTTTAACCTGACAATCAGATCACAGTCAGACATTCAAGCCAAGCTCTTTTTCCTCAAACCTCAAATCTCATCTCAAACCTTAAATCCCATTATGACATTTTGATGGGTTGTACATACAGTGGGGAGAACAAGTATTTGATACACTGCCGATTTTGCAGATTTTCCTACTTACAAAGCATGTAGAATTCTGTAATTTTTATCATAAGTACACTTCAACTGTGAGAGACGGAATCTAAAACAAAAATCCAGAAAATCACATTGTATGATTTTTAAGTAATTCATTTGCATTTTATTGCATGACATAAGTATTTAATACATCAGAAAAGCAGAACTTAATATTTGGTACAGAAACCTTTGTTTGCAATTACAGAGATCATACGTTTCCTGTAGGTCTTGACCAGGTTTGCACACACTGCAGCAGGGATTTTGGCCCACTCCTCCATACAGACCTTCTCCAGATCCTTCAGGTTTCGGGGCTGTCGCTGGGCAATACGGACATTCAGCTCCCTCCAAAGATTTTCTATTGGGTTCAGGTCTGGAGACTGGCTAGGCCACTCCAGGACCTTGAGCTGCTTCTTACGGAGCCACTCCTTAGTTGCCCTGGCTGTGTGTTTCGGGTCGTTGTCATGCTGGAAGACCCAGCCACGACCCATCTTCAATGCTCTTACTGAGGGAAGGAGGTTGTTGGCCAAGATCTCGCGATATATGGCCCCATCCTTCCTCCCCTCAATACGGTGCAGTCGTCCTGTCCCCTTTGCAGAAAAGCATCCCCAAAGAATGATGTTTCCACCTCCATGCTTCACGGTTGGGATGGTGTTCTTGGGGTTGTACTCATCCTTCTTCTTCCTCCAAACACGGCGAGTGGAGTTT